TGAGGGGGTGAGCCTGGGCACCGGGACCCAGGGGTGTGGGTGAGGGGCTGAGCCTGGCTGGGGACCCCGGGGTGTGGATGAGCCTGGCCCAGGACCCCAGAGGAGCAGATGAGGAGGGGCTGAGGGTGGAGATGTGGGCTCTGGGGGAGGAGAGGGAAACTGAGGGGGGCTGAGCCGGTAGTGTGGAGCCCCCAGAGCGGGGCTTGCCTCTGAGGCTCCCCTGGGCTCCCTGTGTGAGTGTCTGTCTCTCTTCCCACCCTGCGTCACAGAGGAGGTCTTCTCAGTGGAGATCCTCTCAGACGTGAAGATTCAAGGCTGCATGACACAGCCAGGCTGCACCCTGCTCAATGGCACACAGAAGATCGGGCCCATGGAAGTGCGGGAGTCCTGCCAGGCCACCCGGACAGGTGAGTTTCACTGGGAGAAAGGTCGCACCTGTGCTGCAGCCTCTTTGCAGGTGCGGACAGGCAGCCCCTCAGCTGAAGCCAGCCTCCCGGACACCTAAGTGAGCATCACCCACTCAGGCAAGGGGGATGAGGAGGCCGGGAGGGGGCGGGGCCGAGGGGCATCCAGCTGGAAGAGCAGGGGACTGAGAGCGCACTGAGGGGTCCTTCGTGAGCCCCAGGGACCTGTCCTGTGGGAGGAGGCTCGGGCATGGATGGTCACCATGCTGCTGCCGTGGGCTGGACAGGCAGAGTGGACAGGCCTGACTGAAGGCAGTGCCCTGGATGTGCAGCCAACGGGAGGCCGTGCAGGACCCTGCACTCCCCGCAGAAGCCTTGGGGAATCAGACCCTGGCCTGCCCTGGGCCTGGCAGAAGCCACACCTGAGCTGGCCATTCTGAGCTGTGACAGGGCAGACCCTGGGCCGGGAGCCCATGGGGAGTGAGGAGGCTTCCGAGAGGGCGGCATCGAGGAGGTGGCCTGTCTCAGTGTCTCAGTAGAAATGGCTTGTCAGGGACTGCAGAGGGCTCTGCGGCCAAGAGGGTCTCCTGAGTTCAAGCCCAGAGGGTTCACCTACAAAGCTGGGCCTGGCCACAGACACACCTGCCCCCTCAGCACCGTGGGAGGCAGAGACGGGAGGGTCACGGTGCTGGCTGCTTGCAGAGAGAGGGTTGCTGTCTCAACGGAGGGAGTAAGGTGGAGAGGGATAGAAAGGACATTTAACATCCCCATCTGGCCTTTACACATGTATGCACACACACACACACACACACACACACACAGAGAGAGAGAGAGAGAGAGAGAGAGAGAGAGAGAGAGAGAGAGAAATTCATCACCAGGAAACTGTGAGTGCAAGTTCCTGATACAGGAAAGCCGGACTGCCTGAGGTGGGCTCAGCAGGAGGATGAGGACATGTTGCTGACTCAGCATGTCAGGACTGGGAGGGCAGCAGGGGTGGGGGTCAAGGTACAGGAGGGAGGGAGGGGGGAGGGCTAGGCACCAGCATTCTGACTGCCTCAGCAACCCATCATGAAGATGAACCAGAGTTAGGCCATGATCTGCCTCCTGAGGAAGCTGGCAGAGGAGAAGCCAGAGCCAGGAACCAGAGAAGTTCAGGGCTTCGGGCCTACATATCAGAGAAGCACCATCTGTGTCAGAGCTGTCGGCAGGAGCCTGTGCAGTCACCTAGAGGGGCCACATGCCCTGTGTGTGCTGACCCGCCTTCGGTCACCCAGCAGCTCCACCACCTGGTGCTCCCTTCTGTCTCCCATTGGTCCCTGACACTGTGTCATGCCGCTAGCCTCAAGGGCCTTATCTGTGCTGGGGCATGTGTCCATGAAGGAGGAAGGCCAAGTCACAGGGGGCCTTGTGGGCCAGATTAAAGACATCACAACTTGATTTTTGAGGAGATGGGAACCTACCCGAAGTCTCTGCCTTCTTGGGGCTTTACAGGTTTCCCTGGAGCCTCACATGGATGCCTGACCCTTTAAGAGGGCCCATGGGCTGCTGG